GGAAAAGGCCCCCCTACTGCAGGGAGCACTTGGCCCTCACTGCTTCCCTACAGTGTGAGCACAGCTTTCCCCAGCACCAGTCCAGCACCAGAGCTGTCAGGATTACAACAAGACTTTGCAGTATCTCATGATGCTGTCCTCCTTTCTGCCAAAGGGATCTGAAATAGTGAATGCTGAGAGTGTTCACCCATGGAAGCACGTTTGATCTTCAGCCAGGTCTTGAAATGTAACAGCCTCTCTGCAATAATGTTCTGCTTATACATTAATTGTTCATTTCTGTGCAATTGTAAAGAGAGAGTGCTGTAAGTAGTTAAAACAGAGACTTTCATGCTGTGGCAATAACTATGCTCTTGAATACCATTAGCATCAGACTTAATTCTTAGACATTATAATTATGTGAGGGCTCATTTTCTGTGAGTTTGCTCTTACTTGTCTTCCCTATTTAATGTACATTATAATATTTTGTACTTTTCTTCTAGGCTTGAATAGGAATATTGTATTAGGCAAGCAGGTGATGAGATTCTGTTCTCTGTTCCAGTTAGCATAATTTCACCAATTCTGGTCCAGTTACTAGGATTTGCTGTAATTTAACTGCAATCAGAATTGAATTGTGTTTGTTTAAGAAAGAAAAAAAGTGTCTCTGAATGTTCATTTCATGGACATTTTCTGTTGTAATGTGTGTGTTCTTTTTTCTATTTCACATTTTTATTTCAGAGGTTTAACATCCTAATAATAACTTTATTCTCTTCATCCTGTTGTTAACAGGTAACTGAGGTAGGAAATTAAAAAGAGCTGTGCAGTGAACAAAAGGCATTTAGAGGCCTGTTAGGCAAGGAATTTATCCTTTTAACATAAATGTGTGCATTACCATTATTGATAAACACAAGGAGAAGCATCTATTCTTTCATATTTTTGAAAGCAAGATGTCTTGTAAAATAATTTGAGATTTCTTTTAGTTTTAATTTATATAACTAGTTTTAATAACTTTTAGGGGCTTAGTACCCCAAACAGTTAAATAATTCTTGTTGAAATGTCACATGCATAGCTGAGTTTAGTAAGCAGCTGCCGAAGTGGTCAGAGCTGGATGAAATTAGAAAGAAAAACTTTAATATAATTTAGTGATAATGTGCATTAATTCAGACCAATGTAAAGATTAAAAGTAAGATAATGAAATGCTCAATGTTTGTAGGAAGCATACACGTAGAACATATACACTCACATCTTGAGTAGCATGCACACACACAATTCTCCACAAAGACAGTCTGTACTTAACAGCAATGTAATGATGTTTAAGCATTTTGAGGTAGACATAGTACAGCTGAATTTGCTATTTTGCTGTCATTCACGATTTACTGGGCATTGTTTTTATACCACCACTCTTAGTTTTAACTTTTTTTCCCATCATCGAAAGCTTACCTACCATAAACTTAATGTGTAATGTCTGAATCTGAGAGTCTTAACTTTTTGTCCTACTGTTTTTGCAGCAGATCAAGTACACTCTAGTCATTAAAAGGAAGAAAAAAAAAATCCTCAATACAGTAATTATTTTGTCCATTTAACTTAGTATTGATACTATATTCCATTTGTAGTTTCCTTTGCTAATGTAAACTACTGTTTATATTACCTTGGAACACTTGCAATGAGTTTAAGGTATTTACTATTAATAACTTACATATTTAAATTGCAGCTCTGAGAAAACAAAATAAAAAATACATCTTTGTCACCTTTTGTTGAAATCTTGGAGTTTCCTGAGTTTCTTCTTCTGTACTGTGTTTTTTGCTGCCTACCATCTTCATTACTATGCTTGTCTTGCACTTTTCTCTGCAGCTATCACACTTGCCTCGAGGGAATCTTGTTGGCTCTGGACCACCAAAATTTCCACTTCTTGTTCTTAAAAGACAATTGAGCAAAGGTCATGCCAAGTTGTTCTTGTATGGTTGTCCAAAGGGAGGTTAAGGATGAGCTCAAAGCAGTCTGCTGTGATAAAGCCTTTAGCAGAGGAAGTCCCAGATCTTGCTGGGGTTTTTTTTTCTTCCCAAAGCACAGCCCATCCCATGCTCCCCCCACCTTTTATTTTTTTTCTCCTTGCAGCATTTAAATATGCTTGTTATGCTGTGCTGTGGGAAACAGATGCATTCTTGTTATGGCCAGAGATGAATGTGAGGATTGAATGAGCATCCATGAAAAAGTCTTCTGTTTGATCTGCGCTGTCCCACAGTGGAGCTATGGCAACAACTTCCGTTTGGGAAATTAACTGTATCACTGTGTACCGGCTCAAATCATGGCATCACCTGAATGACAAACATGCCACTGTTCACATGACAGCTGACAAAGGGTATTGTTTCATTTTAATCAAAAGCATTAAAATCCAGCCAATGCAAAAATCCAAAGCATGTGAAGGCTATATATATGTGAAATGCAGTGGCATTCTGTTTTTATTAAAACTGAAGAATTTAGAGATATTGTTATTTTATAAATGTTTATCTAGTGTAGCTTAAAAATTGAGTAACTTCTGATTTTGAACCCCACATCAATCTTAGTGATTGTGCACATGTTTAAAAAAAGAAGCAAATAGTGCCACACTCCTGTGAAGCAGAGGCTTGTGTTGGTGTTGTTGGTTTAACCTGGCAGGCAGCTAAACAGCACACAGCCACTCACTCACTCTCCCACCCACCCATTGCGTGGGATGGGGAGAGAACTGGGGGAAGAAAACCCCAAATTTAAGTATTGGGGTTGAGACAAAAACAGTTTAATAGGGGGAAAAAAGGAAGAGAAAAGAAGAACAACAATAATTAAAATATACAGAGTAAGTGATGCACAGTGCAATTGCTCACCACTCACTGACTGAGGCTCAAACAGTTTTGAGCAGTGGCCTCTGGCCAGTTTCCCCCCAGTTTATATACTGAGCACAATATCTTATGGTATGGAATATCAGCTGGGGTCAGCTGTCCTGGTTGTGCCTCCTCCCAGCGCCTTGTGCCCTGCAGCCTCCTTGCTGGCAGGGTGGAGTGAGAAGCTGAAAAGCCCTTGACTTAGTGTAAACACTGCCCAGCAACAACCAAAACATCAGTGCGTTATCAGCATTATTACTTCCAGAATCCAAAACACAGTCCTGCACCAGTTACTAGGAAGAAAATTCACTTGATTGTGGTAGAAACCGGGACAGCAGATCAGAGAGGGATTCTTCCTGTGGCTGTCAGTGTTTCCAAGGATGCATGTTTGCTACAGCTAAGCTGGCCTATTAACTAAGGACAGCTGATAGGGGTCTCACTCTCCCTGGCAATGGGCACTCTGGCTGTCATCCAGCCTCTTTTGGCACCACAGAGCTGCCACAGGTGGCTGGGGTCATTCTTCTGCTTCCACCTAAGATAGGTCCAGCACTGGGATAATGTTGTACTAGCATCTGGGTATGTAAGTTTGGAGGATTTTTATTCCTCTTACCAATGCAAAGGAGTCCTGGTGGAGAAGAAAGGAAAGTAATTTTCATTTTCAGGACTATATAAAGTCTCTCCTCCAGACAGTTGAAAACAATCAGTATATTCAGACCAAATAATATTAGTTCACATTTCTGCAACGGCCTATCAGCCCTAAGGAGAGAACCCTGTGGTGCCACCTACCTTTGCAAGAAGCTGGAGTCAGTGCCTGATGAGCAGTAAATGCTTCTCCACAAAATTCTACAAATGATGGTGGTAGGTTTTTTGAGTAATGACTGGCCAGCAGTGATGTTTTTGGACAAAATATCGAGGTTAATCTGTGGTGAAACAACATGAACCCCATCAGTTTCTCTGGGTTTCTGAGTATACACACGGACAGACCTGAACCCTTTTAGAAGAGAGGACTTGCAACACTTGAGTTGTCTTAACTGAAGCTTTTAAAACCTTTTCCCATCTTTGCTTGAAACTGAAATATATAATTTTCTGGACACAGTCCTTGCTCCTCAGCTGAAGGCTGTTGTGTAAGTACTCTTGACACATTTGAGTGAAGGTGTCTCTGTAGCATCAAAAGGAAGAGAACATACCCCAACTTCGCAACCTGACCAAGTCAGAGGTATGCAGGGACAAAGGTCTAGTGGGTATTTTCTCAGAGCCTTCCACACACATGGCCACTTGAGATATCAGAAATCTAGTCTGAATCTATGGTTTTTTTTTTTTTTTTTTTTTTTTTTTTTTTTCTTTCCATTTGTAATGAAGAAGAAAATAAAAAGGAAAAGGGGTTTGGAAAATAGGAGGGCATCCAATATTTTATATATATAAATATATATATAAATATAAACTATATGTGGTCATAGCTATATAAAACACATTTAAATACAGATACACACACATATACGTGTAAAAATGTATTTTGTCACTAAGCGGACCAGTCTCTACCTGCCTCTGAAAGACTCTAAAGAGTCATTTACAGAAGAAGTTCTGAAACTTGTGATAGAGCATCACATCTAAATATGCAAAATAAAGACCATGGCCCCTACATACGTATTGTCATGATCAATATTCGATGTTTAGGGGTTACAGGTTGATGGAAACCATGTAGGAAATCTGTTTCTCCCACTGAGAACGTTGTTGGAGGTGATCCTCCACCCTCATGCTCCAGCTTTTATCCAGCTGCCATGAACCACCACCTTCGCCCAGCTCAGGAGATGTATTTTATACGTGATTTTAGACGTCACGTATAAAATACGTGACATTTAGTCGTGATGTACTTATGACAAGGCATTTAAACATGGCTTTGTCCCAACTGCGGCACCGGGCCCGGACGAGCTATGGGCCCCTGCAGCAGGTGGAGCACTGCTCAGAGGCTTCAGCCGCAATTCTCGGGTTACCGCGGGCCAAAAGAGCGCCTGGGAAGCCGCGGCCGCAGCAGCGGGCCCAGCCCAGCCCCGGCCCGGCCCTCAGGCCGCTCTCAGGCAGCGGCTCCGCCGGCCCGCTTGGCGCCCCCGGGCGGGCCTCGCTGGGCCGGGCCGCGCCGGGCCCTTCCCGCGGGCCGCGCTCCCTCCGCGCCCGGGGCGGCCCCGCCCCCGCGCCCGCTGATTGGCTGCGGCCCCGGCGGCGGCGCGCGGGGCTCCCGTCTCGCGCCACTTTCGGGAGCCTTTGGCGCGACCGCCATGGCGGAGAGCGGCGCGCGGGGCCGGGACGGTGAGACCCGGGGGCGGCGGAGCGGCCGGGCCCCCTGTCCTTGTCCTCCTGCCTGTCCCCGTCCCTCGCAGGCGCCGGCGCTTCGCTGTCAGGCGGGGGGCAACCGGGCAGCGGCGACGGCGAGCACGGGGCGCGGGAGCGCGCGTGCGCGGCGGGCGAGCGGGCGGTCCGGCGGTCGCGGCGGGGGCGGCCCGCGCCGCGCGAGGGTCCCGCGTTCCTCTGGGCGGCTCGGCGGGGCCGCGCCCGCGCTGCCCCAGCGGCGGGACCCTCTCGGGGGGCGCAGAACGGGGGGCTCCGCCCGCGGACGGGCTCGGGCCGCACAGCCCCGCACCGGCCGTGGAGCCCCGCAGGCTGGGGCGGCTGTCCCCGGTCGCGTCTCCGGTGCTGGCGCTCCCAGCCCAGGGGGCAGCGGCGGGCGCGGGTGGTCCCGGCTGGGGCTGGAAACACGCTTGTCCCGGAGGAGCGCGTTGCGTGAGGCGCTGGCGTACAGTAAAGGCGGAGGATTGACAGAAGATAAACGCGCCCAAAGCGGTGCGCCTTTGCATGGGGCAGCAGCGGTGCAAATGCCCCTTTTACCCCAGCCCTTGGCGACACAAACCCGGCCTTCCTTCAGCTGCGCTGCCGGGGTGCAGCTCTGTTCGCAAGTTGATGTCCTGCTGCCACCAGGAGGGGACTGCCCTGCTCCTCTGGCCGCCTGGCCAGCCGCGGGTCTCCTCTGCCTGCACGGGGTGTGCAGCTCCTGCCACTGAGCCCGCAGCCTTGTCCCTGGGCTGTTTGTTTGCATTTAGAACTTGGATGGACTCCGTTTGTTCCCTCTGGTCAGATAGGTGCTCCTTCCCCAAATTAAGAGAAAGAAAAAAGGTCTGGAGAAGTAGAAAGCATCTTGCTGGGGAGAGCATTTGGAAGGGGAGGAAGTGGAAGAGGAAATGGGGTGTCAGCTGTTAACAGGTTTCTAGTTTGTCTCAATCTGGTCACACTCAAACCTTGTGGAAACCGCCTAAAAACATCACTGCTTTGTAGCAGTGTAGGCCTTCTCTAAGTCTGGTATTCCTGAGTTGTCATGGAGACATGCAAAATAAAAGGAGCTGGAAATTCCCAGGAAGGGGTAGGGGGCGGATCTCTTACAGGGAAAGGCTGATGAGATTTGAGAGGCGCTTAGGAATTCTAGGTGGTAGCTTCACGCTGAATGTGAGCTGGCATGAGAGGGCTGTTTGAGCTCCCTGTCAGGCCATGCCCTCAGTATCATTCCAGAATTGGCTTAGGAAGAGCCATCTGTGACTGTGCTTTTAGCCAAGGAGGTTTTAGTTTTAAGCATAACTGCAGTCATCTATTAATACATTACTGCACACTTAAGTACCTAAGCTAACAGCTCACTGTTAACCTAATTTCTCTTGTTTTTTATTAATTACAGCTATGAGTGAGTCTGGAAGTTTTGCAGCATCACGTTCTAGACGTGAGAGGAAAAATAGAAGAGGTCAGCAAGAAGCACTTGAACGTCTGAAAAAAGCCAAAGCTGGGGAAAAATTAAAATACGAGGTGAAAATTCCTCATCTTTTCTTCTTAATTAAAAGTCAGTGTGAGCTGAGAAACTTAATCACCATTTATAGATATGTAAAAGTTAGAGGAAACAAAATGAGCCTTTCGGATCAGCTTTTATGTTTTTAATAGTGTATGTTTTTCTGAGTGTAGCTGTAGTTTTCTGCTTTCTAATGTAATTTGTTTGTTTCTTTCTGTTTTCAAAATTAACCCAGTTTTGTTAACTGCAAGTGAAATATGCCTTCCACTGCTTGAGAACTATGCTGCAGGGAAGGACCAATTTTTAAAATCACATAACTAATGTTATGATAGGCAGTACTTTTTTTTTTAAAGCTCAAATTATATTAAACTTTAATTCCAGAGCTTTACATGACTCAAACCATTAATATTGATATGCTTATTTCCACAAAGAGACCACAGTTTAAGTGGTGGAACTGAAATCTGGCAGTGTAACATTGATACTGTAACACTGTCCAGTCATGGTGCCAACAGGAAGTGACTTCCTCATTGAGGTGAATAAATGTAAAGAAACCAGAAGTCTGTAGATCATTAACATGCAAATTTTCTCTGAGCACTCTGCTTGGGTACATCAAACCCCTTTCCTTTTCACTGAGCTGAGATTGGTGTTTGAGAGTAGAGCCAAGGCCAGAAGTCTCCACTGCTAGGTTTTTTATTAAAATTTTTTTTTGGTAATTAAATGAGCAATAAAACAAGTAGTTTTAAAATGAAATCTCTGCCAGTGCTTTGGAAGATTTTGAGTTTCAGTATACTTGTAATAATTTAAAAAATTGATAACTTGTCTTTTATCACTGCCAAAAAAGAAATTTAATGAATAACTGTGTTTATGAGTGGTGAACAATGTAGCAGTGAAGGAACCCTACGTGCATTTTGGGGAACTTTTATATTCTGACTGATGATCTACAGTATTGATGGTATGGAAACTGTTAATCCTCAGTTTACCTTTACTGTAGGTTGAGGAGTTCACGGGTGTTTATGATGAAATAGATGAGGATGAATACTCCAAGATGGTCAGAGACCGTCAGGATGATGACTGGATTGTTGATGATGGTAAGTTAAGATTAATTTGGAGAGTTATTTTGGTTCTAGTGTTATAATTCAATTAAGCTTCATAATACTCATGCTTTGAGGTAAGTTATTGTTAGTATATTCTTAAAATTTGTTTTAGAAGACACGAGAAAGGTATTCTTTTAATTGAAATTAATCTTGGATTGTTCTAATAGCAGTCTGTTAGGATGATAATGAAGATATTTTTCCATGAAGACCTGTTGTTGAAATTTTATTTCCTGTTATCGTTACGGTTTTGCCAAAAAAAAAAAAAATTATCTGTTATGGATAATTTCTAATTAAATAAGAATGTATTTAGTCTAGTAGAAGATACAGCTGAGAGTGCTGTAGTTTTTAATACTTGCATTTGTAACTTTTGCTCTACATTAAAGGGGGGGGAATGTTTAAATATGTATTTATATGAATTTAAACTGCAATTTTAAAATAATTTTCTACAGATGGGATAGGTTATGTAGAAGATGGAAGGGAAATCTTTGATGAAGATCTGGATGATGATGCTCTTATTTCCAATAAGAAAGGTAACTTGCATGTGACCACTGAAGACTGTCTCCCAGGGTCATTTAGAAGGTACCCAAAATGGGCAACTTGCTGTCATCAGTAAATGTGGTAAATGGCCAAATGACATATTACTTGAAGCTCTGTCATTCGGTGCCTGTGGATTTTATTCAGCCCCAGTGATGCAGACGATGGAGGTGCACAAATTGAGGTCACATCTCTGTTAACTGCTTCAGCACCGCTGGGGCACTGCTGCTCAGTCTTCTCTGGAGTGGGGATTCGCTTCTAGAAAAAATGTGTCTGGGAAGAGTCTTGGTTTTCAAAGCCAGTGCCTAAAAGATGTGTGGTTTCTTTTGACCATTAAAATACTTACGTACTTGTAAGAATCTAGGATCATATGATTGTCCCAATTTTTTAATGGAATCTAGTGTCAAACTGAGAGACTGAGTCTGATGTTGCGAATCCAAGCCTAGTGCCAAACTCCTGGACATTCATTCTTTTTTTCCCTGGAAATGCTTCCATGTAAAGTATCTTGGTCCTTTTTCTGGAGTATGCAAAAGGCATCTCTGACGTGAGTAGGAAAGACAGGGTGATGAGAGGGTTTTTCATTTTTTTGTGTGTGCATGATAGCTGCTACAAAGTTGAAAGATGACTAGGCTTCATTTCAGCCAGAAGTGTAAAGGTAGAAGCAGACTACCTTGGCTGTCCATCCCTGCTAATAACTGGACCTGTAAACGTTGCACTTTTCTTATGTAAAATTCACAATTTCTGATTTTTTGTTCTGGTAGGAAGAGGTGGCAAAACATCTACAATTGATAAAAAGAACGTGAAGAAATCTGTAGTGTCAAAGCCAAACACGATTAAGTCTATGTTTATGGCCAGTGCTGGGAAGAAAAACACAGATGTAAGTTTTTACATTTTTGAATTTAAATATTTCTGACTTGTTTACAGTTTTAGTGGGAGTGGAGTAAACCAAAGGCTCATTTTAGTTTTTTGTGTCAAGCAAGGCAAACTTCTATTATGATCCCTTGTGTCTGGAGCATTTCTGAAAATACTGTATATGTTTTGTGGAAATCCTCTAGTCATTTACTGCTGTTCTCCTGATTGAGTTTGCACATATAACTGAGAACTGTGTGGCTAAACTTACCTTACAGAAAACTGTGGACCTGTCCAAGGATGATTTACTTGGGGATATTCTTCAAGATATTAGTGCTGAAGTAAGTATGTTAATAAAATCTGTTTGAAACAACCTTAATCAATTTAACTTGTCATGGAACATACCAAGAAAATACAGGTTTTTTATGAAACTAGACAATGTAAGACTGATTTTATCCCTAGCACATCTCATTGATATATTGCACATGTGTGTGCTGTCTGCCTGTTGTCTCCCCCGTGCAGGTATTGCATGACTACATTGCTTGATAAGGCAATACCTCTGTCACCTGATTACAGAGGTTTATATCAAGATGATGTGGAGCCTATTCTAATGCAGCCTTCAAGGTTTTAGTCACTTTGGAGTGAAAGAGGACTTGGCTCCCTCTGAATTGTGTGCTGTGTATCTGTCACACACCTCAGCCAGGGAGCTGTAGGACATCTCCATCTGACCTGTATGGGAGGAGCTGAGGGAGCAGTGTTTCAGCAGGTGATGTAACCTGGACCTCTGACTGCCTCCTGCTTCCCACTATTTACTGCAGAGAACAAGGTTAACACTCCCTTGGAGGCAGGAGTGCAGGGTGGCTGCTGTGACAGGGTTGGACTGTCTCAAATACGTAGTGCCCTTTTAGCAAGATTTCTTAAACCCAAAAGGATTGCTCACCTGTAAATGTCGAAACTGCTGCAGTGGTGAGATACTGAGGTGGAATATGTTGAACCATAATAAGCTTAACATGTTTCTTCAGCCCAGTAAAGGGTATAGGATGTCCCAAAGTAAAGTTATTCTCTTAGTTTTGTGTTCTTATTATTTTACTCCTTATGACACCTGATTGAGGCTATAAAACCTCCCATGACTAAAACTGCCGCCGCTCCCCCCAGTATCATTAAAGAAATATTTAATGCTGTCAAATTTGTGGAACATTGATTAGGGAAAATAATGTTAATAATTACACTATGGCTTCTATTTACTTAAATACTAGTTAGCTACTGATTTTTTGTTTTGTTGTTTGTTTTGTAAAATTTCTTTTGTTATTAGCAGTCGATAAGGTTATGTATAAAATATCTTTACATGTAAATATGTTAAAATGTGTTTTCCTCTAGTGGAACAGTAACTGAAAGAGCACTTCAGCCTTTCATGAGGCATGTATCTTCAATACTACTGCTTCAGCAGACATGAAAACCAGCAAAAGCTATTCTGATACTTGTGCAATAAAGGCACAGTTAGCTATTGAAATTCCCGCTGCTTGAAAACTGTTTCATTTACTGATGGCAGTTTTTCTCAGATTGTTTCCTCTCCCAAAAAATCTAGTGTGTCTTCATGGGCTGACTGCTCAGTAACATTATTTTATGGGGCTGGGTTTCATATCAGGAGGTGTTTTCTTCATCAGCCAAAAATATTGGTGTCCCTCTTTCTCATTGATGGAAAATGTTACTAACCAGGGCAAAAGAAAGCACTTAACAACTTTTCCTTTTGTCACTTTCTCTATTCTTTCAAAATTCAGACAGTTCAGCTAAGTCCACCACCAGTTATAATGTTGAAAAGGAAAAGATCTGCTGGAGTACCACTCAATCCTTTCTCTGTGCAGTCCCAAACTTCTAAGGTAAAGTGGAAAACAAAAATGTTTTCATTATTAATAAGTGCTAATTTGTGTTTTTGTTGATTTGACTACTGTTGACTTTTGTTTCTCCTCCTGGAAATTAATTTTCTCCTAAGCTTCCATAGCAGTGTTACAGTGTAACTTCATGCCTTTTTCTGCATTGCCTTTCATGTGAACCCACAAACAGTACAATTAGTTTTGTGTCTGTAGTATAGTAGGAGTTTGTAGCTGGTACATTTGACAGGTGAAGCTGTTGTTACTGCATTCAGTGCATCACAAGAAGGTGAGTTTCTACTCTCTTTTCCAAAGAGTAGAAAAGACCCTTGTGGCAAGGAGAGGAGGATGGGAGGTGAAATAAGCAGCAGTGTGGAAAAGGATAAGAAACCAATCGTTTGCAGAAATGGAAAACAAATGGAAAATGAAGCTATGGATAGAAGTTTGCCCTAGTGGAAGATTTTGGAGTGAGAGGAGGATGGGCTGCTAAGGATGGAAGGCTAGCATTTTGTTAGGATTTCTGGTAAATGGAAAGGACTTTATAGCTGGAAATACAAAGAGATAGTTGGTAATGGTCTGTAGAAGGAAAATGGAATAGTGTAGATACATCTCATTTGGTGAGACCTTCTTTGGCATCAACTCTTATGTTGAAAATAATCATCAGTGCTACTTATCTTAACAGTTGTGTTCAAAACTAGAAGCAGCTGGAAAAAATGGGGAGATACAGTAAGAGAGGATCATGGTGCAAAATATGTGGAACTTTTCCTCTACCCCTGTTACTAGATCTGCAAATAGCAAGTGAAAGGTTTTGTTGTTTATTTTTTCCTTCTTTGTTTTCACATGATTATTTTAAAATCATGGTGGAAATGTTTTTCAGGTAATCACCCCTGTATCAAAGAAAGCTCCTGCTCATGTCAGAAAGGAAACTCTTCCTCCAGCTTCATTTCATCCTAAACACCCCAATTATACAGCAAAATCTGTCAGAGTCTCTGAAAATGAGGACACCAAGCATGTGCAGAAACCTATACAAAATGAGATATTAGTGAAGGCAGTAGGAGAGAAAGCTACTAAAGGTATCAAAAGTAAATAAAAGCATAATTCTGGAAACTCTTTAAATATGGTACAGTAGTTTTAAAACACTTGTTAAATTATACTAATTTTGATAGAACAAAGTATTATATTTAAGCTATCTATACTGCATATTATGGTCATGCTTACAGTGTGCTATTTCTGCATACTGCTATAGTATGCAGTGTGTCATTTTGATGATTCAAGCCTTTAGTTCTACCTGCAGCACTTCCAGATGATGATCAGGGAATGATGCATTTTGATGAGGAGGACTTTGATGAACCTATGGAAGCAGAACATGTGGAAACTATACCTGAGACAGCTGAAAGTTTGAAAAAAGACAGTGAAATTGAGAAGAAAGAGACAGAACAGCTAGAATCAGAGAAGAAAGAGACATCTGTCTTGTAAGAATCTCTTTTGCTTCTTTTTTTTCTTTAACTAAGAAGGCTCTCAGTTTCCATTAACCTTAGAATTAGCTTCATATTTGTCTTTGCCAAAGGGATAATTGTGATATAGACAGAATGATAATAATCCTCTGTAATGCTTTTTTCTTTGTAGTTACATTAAGAATAGTAACATGCTGATAGCTACTTAATTGAAAAGTATTAGATGTTTTTGGGATCTAGCATGCGACAACATGTATTTCAGCACACTGAAGGTGACTCAATGTAAGTGTTGAATAGTGAACTTTGATATCAATAAGCAAAACCAAGGAATTTCTAACAATACTTACTCTAAGTGAATCTGAAAGTATTTTGCAATAGATGTAGGTAAAAGTTTTGTTGCTAAAAGTAATGGTGAACAGCTATACCTTTGGAAATAGGAAAAATGTGGGCTTTTCCCTCTTTTTGGGGGTTTTTAAAAATTGTTTGGAAAATCTTGAATCATATATCCATAACAAAATCCTTCAAACTGTAAAATAATTAAGTTATGTAAAAGACCTAAACAGACTGGAAAGGTAGTTTTGTTGAAATAATCCATTATTCCCACTAAGCAACTTGTATAGATGGATAGCTATATTTGATATTGACCAAGGCTGAAATACCAGATGACTGATTTTCAAAGCCTGTGTTTGGTGTATCAAGGCCCATACTTAAATGTGGGTTTCTGTCTTTGTCACGCCATCCCTCTTTTCAGAAGAAACCTGAGGAAACCAAGCTGTTGGGACTGTTGCTTGATAGTGGAAAGAGAAGCAAAAGGTGTAAGAATATAGGCCTGGAAAAAAGCAAAATGGTGATTGTAGCAAAGGCACAATTTTAATTGTTTTTTTATTCTTCTGCGAAACCTGCAGAAGTTCTCTCCCAGGTCTCTCATGTTGGGATAGAATTGATGAGGATGAAGCTGATCTAGCAACAGCAGAAGTTCAACTGGACCCCAATCTCCTTCCCCTTGTGAATGGGGAAAGTGGTGATCAAGTCTTAAGATTTTATTGGCTGGATGCTTATGAAGATCAGTTCAGTCAGCCAGGTAACTGTTCAGTTAAAGGCAGAAAATGCTAATCTGATTATTTTTCTTCAGATTTTCTTTTTGAAAATTAGGGTTTTCAGACTTGACTGAATTACATTCAGTTGTCCTGTGCCTCTGTGCTCTAAGATGTTAATCTCTTGTTTTTCTGTACCTCTGTACAGAAGAGGTAGAACAGGGCTTGTGACTGGGAGAAGAATGTCATCTCTTGGCCTAGTATAGAGGTAGGGAAGTAAAAGGGACTTACTAACACTGTTCAGTGTTGGTGACCCGTTGTCTTTCTTAAAATTTTATACACTGAAGTTGTTAATTTCCCGATCAGTGATGCAACAACTGAGCATGCTTTCTTGGTTTTGGAAAAGTAACTCAAAATTCATGTGGATGAACAAAAAGCCTGTACTATATTAGTTGCATGATTTTATACAGAGGAAAGGCATGTCTGTCAAGGGAGGAAGGTGGTCTGAAAAATATGAGGTCTGTTTTGTACCTAATCAACTATTTATTGTCTTTGAATTAAGATTGCTAGCTATCGTAATCTTCAAATTGCATCATTCTGATCTCAGCTCCGACAAAACAGTTTGTGTTCATATCTGTTCTGAGCACTTCCCATCCATCCCCTCATTGCATCAGCAGCTCTAGGATATTTGGTTTCTAGTTTTTGCTTCATGTGTCTTTACCAGAAGGTTCTTTCACATGTTGTTGGAGTTTTTTTTCAGGTGAAGCTGTAAGTATTGAGTCAGATACATTTCTTTGTTAACACCTTTTGTTGTGAGTTGGGATTTCAAACTTAAATATGAGACTGTACTGGGCTGAACAGCTTGGTGATGGGAGTGGTAATAATCATAGATATCTTGATGAAATCAATGGCTCTAATATGAAATTGCTACTTAAAAAGAACCCGCTATTGTTATTTTTCCTTTTTTTTGTCTTTTAAGTCAGTGATTGCTGAATGGAGCATAATTATGAAAGGATTTCTGTTCCTCGCATGCAAGGAGTGTTCTCTTCTCATTATGACTTTTTCAGGATTGAATAATAAAGACTGCACCTGTTTTCAATTAGTAATGTAGAAGGGAAAATTTTGATATTGCTTTTTGTTTAACATGTTCATGATCTTTGTTTGTGCCTCATTTGCTGTGATGTCAAATGCATTGCCTGAAGAGTAAATACTATAGCATAATCATAAGACTCTTTCAAACTTAATGATTTTTTTGAGGCTTACTTTTCATAATTCCCTTTATGATCTTAGAGAACTCGAGAATTGTGATCCTATTAACATTTTAAAGAAATAACGAATGAAACCTGCCCTTATTTTTTCCCCTCTGCAAGACATTTTCTCTGTATCTTGACTTTGCTTACCTTACCTTTTGATTCATTTAGTAGCATGCTCTTTCTTTTCACAGGCTTTGATTTATAAGCTTTATTCAATTTTCTTTCTTTATTCTTTCCGTAGTCTTGCAGGGGATAGGGCCTGATACTGCTCTGATTTTTTTTTTTTTTTTTGGTTTTGCATGAAACGTCTCTGAAAACTCTTTGAAGTTAGTTCTGCTTTTACTGTCTGTGGGGGTGGTAGTGTGTGTCAATGTTCAACTGGATGATCTAAAAAGGTTCCTTCCATTCTAAATTAATCTAATTCTGTGAAGTCTGGTTATTAAGACCACTTATTTGTCTGTGCTAGAATTGATAGAAGTTTGTCTTTGCAATCCAGGCAGCTTTTTATCCTATCTTTGATTGGCTCATGTATCCTTCTTTCTACTCCTCTGCTTATATGTACTCCTCTGACAGATTAACTACTCCATGCTCTTAATATTTCCAGCTGTTCAAGCAGTCAGCTACTGTTTTGTGGTCTCTCTCACAGGTTAGTCTTTCTGCATGATACAAACCTATCTGAGGTGGGGTTTTTTATCCCTTAACAAAAAAGTAAAAGATTGCTAGGGACAAGAACTTCATCTTCCCTGTCACTTAGATCTGCAATTGGAGTTCTTTCTCCATACTTCTATTCAAACTGTCTAAATCTTCAAGATTGCCTCTGTATTAAAATTTCTTAAGATACTTTGTGCAGCTGAAACTTGTATCCTTGCTCTCATCATCTTCAAAACTGCAGCATTCTCTGTCCTTGACAAAAGTGCTCTTGTTCGCATCTATTCCAAGCACTCAGAAAATGATTTTTCATAGCCTGTCACTTTGGCTTTGTCATCCATCTTAGTGCATCTTCACTGATTTATCTTTGATCTAATGGGGTAAGAAAGGTACCTTTATGTCTGATAGATCTGCTGGCAAAGATAAATTATAACTCTTAACCAAGGACCTGTTTGTGCATTGCCAGGCCAAAGAGAAATGCAGATTCTATGCATGAAACCCTGTTTCTGAGACAGTCTCAGCATGGATGTTTCTGTTTTCATCAATAGTAGTATGCTGTAGAAAGAGTGTCTTCCATATAATTAGATTTCAAATTATTTGGAGCTTGAAGGGAACCTGGTAAAGCCAGGTTTCTGAGTTGTGCTTGGAAGTTTTTTGTACTTGTAATTTGCAGACTGTTTGTGACAGTTGGTACTCTGTTATTTTTAAGTTTGACATTATTTGATTAGCAGTTTGCAGCACTTTGTTCTATTGCCAAGATCTCTGGGCTCAAAGATGTGAATGTACTCTAATGACATTGTCCACAGTGAAGTCAGTTGCCACCAGTCCTGCTCTGTATAATCTTTCTGAGTGTCTCCCTTGGTTACAACTACTGTCTTGGCACTTGGGATTCCTAGGAATGTCATGCATCTTTTGGTGTCCTCATTTGTTAAAAATAGTCACTTAAAAGCTGATCAGTTTCTAGTTGTTGTCTTCAGAATGTTTTTCTATGGGTTTTATTAGTTATCGAGTCTTGATCTTAGGATACTGAAGTGTAGGGAAGAGGAGTCAATTTGTACTGCTCTAGCTGAAGAGTGAAAAACTGGAGATAACACATGTTAGAGGATTGACGGCTTAGGCATTCTCATAATCTTCAGCTTTCACTGACATCTCTCCTTCCTCCCTCTCTCCAGGGATTGTCAAACTAATATAGGCAGCAATGGAATATCAGAACAAAATTTTGAGACTGGCTGTGTAATGCCATTTTGGATTTTACATACCAGGTGTTACTATAGCAATGGAGGTAGAGACATGAAGAATGATACAGGTCTGTTTGTAAAGCTGGTGTTTAAAACAATTTAGAATGTGCTGATACATTGGAAGGATTTGTTGTTCAACAACCTAACACAGCAATGGTTGTGTTTCAATGCTAGAACATGTTATAAGCTTCTTCAAGCAAGATTAGACATTATTAGTTCTAAAACTGCATATTGAATGATTTGCCCTTCTCCCTTAGGTGTGATATTTTTGTTTGGCAAAGTTTGGATTGAATCTGCAGCCACCTATGTCAGCTGTTGTGTGACAGTGAAAAATATTGAGAGAACTGTTTATCTGCTGCCACGTGAAACAGTAAGTGTGTGACTTTTAAGAATGTCAGACATAAGTACCTTTCATTCTGCTTATGGCAGGTTAGGAGGTTAGCAGTGTGTTTATGGAAGCTGTTGGAAGCCAGTGCTGTCTGATGTAGGTGATAAAGTTAAAAACAATGTGTACACTGTATCACATATGAGCTGTAGGTTAGAGCCCTGTGACTTCCCCTGACCCTAACTAACAGCTGCCGACAAATTTTTATCCTTAGACTTGCTACTTTGCAAATAAAGCGGTCTTAGTATTACTAGAAAACTTAGCGCTTTTTAAACATTCTGTTTCAAAATATTTTCTAAATTTGGGATTTTTTGGCTGATTGCATTTTAGCTCTTCCTAAAAAAAAAAAAGAGATACATGATTCATAATAGCAAAGTAAAATTTAACTTATTGTTCAACTTATTGTCTGCTGACATTTTTGTTAATTTGTAAAACCTCACTTCTGTTTTTGAGGAAATTGACCTATCTACTGGTAAAGAGACAGAGACTCCAGTAACTATAATGAGTGTTTTCAAGGAATTTAATGACACCATTTCACCAAAGTACAAGATCATGAAGTTCAAATCCAAGGTTTGTTTGCAAGCATCCTATCTGATCGTTTTCTCTTGTTCTGGTTTGTAAGGTGGGAAGGATGTTGAAACACTGTCCAGGGAGGGAGGTTGTGCCAAAATGCTATATATAATTCCTGATATGTGTAAATTTACCTGCTTGTAAAAACCATCCAAAATACCTATATTCCTTTAAGAATGCTAACTCTGCAGCATGGTTGTTCCACCAGAAGTTTAAGCAATGCTTCTGTAAGTACTCACTCATTAGCTTCTTTAAAACTGGGTTGAGTGTCAGACTGGCTTGCTAAGCTGATTTTGAGAATGTAGAACAGATAGAAGTTGTGATACCTAAAGCCCTTAGTAACAGATCATGTTGTCAGAGTTTAAAATGAAAGATTGTATTGTTCAGCAGATAAATCAGTACTCTGGGATTACACTGTCTTTGCATTTGACCAGACATCTTATTGAACTTTATCTCTTGGCATGTCTCATCCTTCTTCTCACCCTCGCAGATTTATCTTTTTAGAGTGCATGCTGTTCAGAGTGTGGATTGTCATAGAGTGGCTGTGCAGGAAGTACCAAGTGAGGACTGTCACTCAGTCTTGAAAGCTGTTCTGTGCTTAGAGTTATGGGCAATAGTCTTAAAAGTGTTATTTTGCTGTGCTCTGTTTGCTCAACAAAACTTTACAATGACACTAGAAAAACAAAATGTTTCTGTAATGGAAACTTTGCACATAAATTAATATAATACTTGTCACGAATCTGCAGGAAAAGAGGTGATACTGCTGAGAATGTTGCAGATTTGGACTGAACTAGTTTGCTAGTGTCAGAGCTTTATTGTCCACTTACATAGGCCACTTGTCTTTTACAGAGGAGGACAGAGGTGGGAAGCTTAGGTGGGGAAATGTGGCAAACATTCAAGTTAGGAGAAAGATCTGTTCTGACTGAAGTACTCAGAAAAGTTTATATTTCTTGGAGTAATATGTCATTAGTCTGGCAAAGCTGATTTTCATTAGTTATAACTTTCCCCATCCCAGCAATCTTGTGATTTTACAGGATTCATTCCTGAATAGTTAATCAGCAAGTGAGATGACAAGTAAAAATACAGGAAGAATGGAATTTAACAATATGTAAATGAGGGAAAATAAAAACAGTTTTTGCAGTAATTCAGGTTGGAAAGATTCTCAGGAGGTCATCTCATCCAAAGCTAGCTAGAGTAATTCTGAAAGTTTAAGTTGCTAAAGTGAAAATGTAAGCAGTGCTTCTCAAATAGCAAAGTCATGCAAGACAGGACATCTTTTCAGCAACTTGTAGCTTAGTGCATTATTTACAGATACTTTATAGAAGCTTTTTTGTTTTGCTCTAGCATATTTTCTCTCTCAAAACTGATGTTAATTTAGATTTTTTTCAGTTTTCTGTTATTTCTCGTGTATAGTTGATTATAACATAACTAAATATGGGATCAGGAGTAAATTTACTCTGAAAGGAGTAAATTTAACAATAGATAAAAAACAAGTTGCTGATAGCTCACTGTTCAAAAATCCTTTCAGGAATGAGGGAGAGAATTCAAACACAAGTTTTCATTAAAAGAGAGGAGTACACTTGTACTGTAGAAAGGAAGGAGGGAGAAAGGTCTCAAAAGATGCAGATTTGCTTACAGAATCTTGGGGAAACCCCCATCTTTTCCATGATGTGCCAAGTAAGAATAATGTGAATGAGGTAATAGAGTAATGTAGTTGAACATTCAAAGATGGCTCTTAAAAATTAAGGTAAAACCTGTCAGATTTTTACTGAGCTTACACAGAATTCAGGGCAAAAGACCCAACAGTCTTGTCTGGGTACATGGCTGCAGTACATGTGGAGTCCTTGGATGTAACACAGGAGTGGGGAAGTGGGAGCACTAAGATACTGTTGAGATACTCCCTTAAGTATTGTAACACTTAATCACGCTCATTAAAGGGTGAAAGGAAAGAGGAAAGATTAACTCAAGTGACTACAGGTACAAAAGATGGCAATTAGAAGGATGAGACAAAAGGGCAGTTATACCAGAGACGACTCTGAAAGAGATTTAATTTTTCTTAGCTAGTAAAATGAAGAATAATGATAAGACCTGTTTGCTCTCTAGAAACATTAAAAGGGAATGAGAAGCCAGAGAGCTATTTAAAGGAGAGTTTCAGCAAAAGAGTGAATTTGTAATTTTTAACTCATGAATAAATTAGGCAGGATAGTTGGTGCAGGGAAGCTCTAAAATAACCCACCAGAATTGTTTCTGAACAGTAAGATTTCAAATTATTTTGAATTCTTAAGTAGACTGAGTTTTAGTAAAAGGATAAAAGCTGTCCAGCTTTATTTAGCTTGTGTAATTTTCTGCTAATTTTGATAGTTACTGCATGCTGGAAGGGTTCAATGAGGGCTGGAGATAGTAGGAAGGTATGGCAGTAGTAATATGGGAGGTAAGAGAAAGGACAGAATAGCAGAGCAGGGCTGTTAGTGGGGTTCTTGGAGGAGTATTCAAATATGGTATTACAGTAACTCAGATATTCCAGATTACACAAAATTGACTGTGAACAAGTGGCCAGGCTTATTCCTCTGCAAAGCAGGGAGGCTTTGTGCTCTGCAAGATAATTGCAGAAGTATTGGGGTTGTCCCATTACTGTGCCTTCCTTTTCTTCTGTTCCTCCCTGAGATACCTGAATCTGCCTGGTTATATACCTGGGTCTGTTCTTCACAAGGAGCCATCAACCTCCTTTTCATTGTACTCACCACCAGAGACAAGGTGTTGTTACACAGCCCTTGCATCTGTGTGTCTATAGGAGTGTGCAGGGCTCTAAAATTGAAATGGTGTTTTGTGGCATTCACCTAAATGAATGCTCCAGAGAAATAATCTTCACCCAGTAATGACTCTGTGTGGTGAAGAGGTAATGTGCTTTAGAAGATCTGCCATGTTCTGTGATGTGCAGCCAGTGGTTCAGTGCTGTGTTGTTAAGGGTTCTTGTTTTGAAAGACTGCAAACAAATGGCTGTGCTGCTCAGGTGAGACTTGTGAGCAATGCATTCAGAGTAACATGAAGTCTCAGTGTTTGCATAGTACTGTGAAACTGAAAACCACTCTTCTTCCATCATCAGCTGGAAATCAGGAAGGTTACTGACATCCCTGCCATGCACCCAGAGTTCTTTTATTCAGAATATCCCTTTTTGTGATGATGTGGAGACACTGAGACAGGTTGTTCTCTTGGCCTTGCCAGCACCCAACTTTGTCCCTCTGAACACACTTAAGCCGTATCATTTCCTGCTGCACCTGCTTCTAATTGTAGCTTCAATGGGTTGCACTGCTGCCAAGTTAGCAAGTCTTCACAAATTAATTTGAAAGCAGCCTTACTCCAATTAGGAACTTAGCAGCTAATCACTGCTGCTCATTTCTGCTCTCTGAAGGGCCACTTGAAGGGCAGATTATTCTGCAGCAAGCATTCATTCACTGAGTTATGACCAGACGCTGGTGTAATTGAGCTGAGCTCTGTGGAATAGCGCAGATGAAACACTACAGCAGACTATTTTTATACTGTGTTCATCCTGCGTTTGCAACAAGAACTTGTTTGAAGCTTGAGAGGTTTTTATTAAAATTAAAAAAAAGAGGAGGGGGAGCACCAGTGATACGTGCTAAAAGCAGTGCATTGCTATCTCTTATGTCACAGCTCTGATCTGCTCGTGTTAGGTACTGCTGTGGCTCAGCAGTTCAGATCTGCATTTGCATGGTAATTTGCAATTCTGATCTGGCTTCATAGTGGTGCTCTCCATCAAGTTATGTTACACTTGTGTTTCCATGAAACTGTTGATGCCACAGTAGTTTCTGGATTTATCTGACTCTTGTTTATAGCAGAGGTCCCTCTCCTTTCCTGGGCTTTGCAGCCTTACACCTGCAGTAGCACATGAAGTAACAAGCTTCACTGCCTCTTGTAGCACCCTCAGGGAGCTATTGCTGATGCTATTAATTTAAGGAAAAAATCCCCAGCCATCCAACCCCCAAACCAAATAACTTCAACTTGCCTAACTGTGCATGTATTTTGTTAATTTTAAATTTTTATTCCCATTTATGGTGATTTTGCTTTTCCTTATTAAACTTTCTCTAGTGGCATATTATGCTGAGTCTTGTGTAGAAAGTGGTGAACACAATGCATTGTTCAGTGAGAAATGTGATTTTTAATTTAAGATGCCTCTAGGAATTCCTGTAGTAAAGTAACGTGCTAGCATAGTTGTAATATAACCACAACAATATGTAACAGTGATGCAGATGGTTTGTAAAGTACTACAGGACAGAACACACATATGACATGGTAGAGCATGGCATTTCAGCAGGTGCCAGAGCACTGTTGCCCAGGATATTGTAATAATTTGGAAAATGAAAGTAGTTATTCTTAGAAACTGAAAAGCTGTGTTTTAGAAAATTGTTATTGTTCTTGAGGAAAGCAGAAGTGATACTTCAGGCTTCTTTAACTGTCTTAGTTAGAGATACATAAACAAACTGGACTACTTTCTAGTGAAACCTAAGTCACTTAAAATGAAAAGTACTGTAGTGTCACAGAAATTATCTGCTGTGAGCATGTGATAAAAGCTGGCAGATGGTTGGGAAATCATCACTCTTGGGTTCCTCTCTGAAGTGCTGGTACACAAAACCTGCAGTCTAAAGGGAGATGTGTGCAGTTACAGGGACACAATCTGGCTGGGATCATAGACATATGGTGGGACAGGATGTGGTTAAGACAGGCTGGGATAGCAAGGAGGGGGAAGCCCTTTTGTGTATCAGGGCAGTGGGGATGCATGGAATGCATGAAGGTGGGCAAAGAGCTGGTCAGGATTATAGGATGGATTAATGTAAGGGACAGCATGGTGGAGAAAGGAAAGCCAAATCCCACCTGGAGCTGGGTCGGGTGAGGGAGATGTAGACCCATAGGAAAGGCTGCTATAGGTACAGGCAGACTACGAGAAAAGTGCTGCTGACAGGGACTGGAGATGTGGTGACAGAGGTCATGGAATAAGATGGGATAATACATGTCTTCTTCACCTTGATCTTCACTGCTTAGTCTAGCTTTTAGCAGTCTCTGATGGCCAACAGATGAGAAGGAAAGCCTGAAGCAAAGAAGACTTGTCCTCGGAGGAGGATCAGGTTAGGGCACATTTAAACAAATTGGACAGATAAAGGCACGTGGGATCTGATGGGATGCACCCCTGTGTACAGAGGGAGCTGGTCAAGGTCAGAAGGGCTTGGGAGTGTTTGGTGTGGATTCACAGGGGGAAAATGATGCTTCACCAAGCTGGTAGCCTTCTGGGAAGAGATGGACTGCTTTGGTGGACAAGAGGAGTGCAGTGGCTTGTTCATCTTGACTTCAGTAAGGCTGTCAATGCTGTGTACCACAGCATCCTCACAGACAAATGATGAAGTGGGGGCTAGTGAAGTGGGCAGAGGGGTGGACTGAAAACCAGCTGCCCTACTGGGCTCAAGGTTGTGATCACTGGCACAAAATCCAGATGGAGGCCAGTCCCTAGAGCTGTACCCCAAGGGTTGATCCTGGATCCAGTCCTGCTGAGCGTCCTGTTAATGATTTGGATGGTTGCATGGAACACACAGAGCAAGTCTGCAGACAGTACAAAACCAGGAGAGGCTGATACACCAAATGGGTGTGCTATCAAAGGAATTTTGACAGGCTAGATATATCTTATGACCTACAGGAATCCCATTAAATACAGAAAAAAGGAAATTGTCCTGTATGAGGACTGGAATAACCTCAGGCACTAGTAGATGATGGCAGCTGACTGGCTGGAAAGCAGCCTTGGAGGAAAGGACCTGCTCATCTTGGTACATATGAGGCTGGACAAGAGCCAACCATGCAGCCCTGGGGAAAAGACTGCCATGGGCATTACCAGCAGATGTCAAGAGCTGGTCCTTTCCCCTTTGCAGCCCTGGTGAGCACCTGTGGAATTCAGCTGAGCTCCTCTGTGTGGGGAATAATCTACTGGAACAAATCCAGAATAGTGCCACAAAGATAGTTACAGGGTCTGGAGCATCTGTCATGTGAGGAGAGGCTGAGAAACCTGGGACTGCTCAGCCTGCAGAAGAGAAGGTTCAGGGCAAGGGGTTGGCAGTGCAGATCTTTTAATAGTTTATGAACGTTTGATGAGCATGAGTAAAGATGACTGGCAGACTTGCTGCTGGTGCCCAGTGGAGGACAAGAGCAACAGATAGCATTTGAAACACGTGAAATTTATCAGAACCTGAACCAGTGCTTTACTGTAAGGGTGTAAGGGAGATCAAGCATTGGCACAGGTTGCCTAGAGAGGCTGTGGAGTCTCCATCCTTGGGGGTATTCATATCTGGCTGGAGAGAGCCCTGAGCAACACACTGATTGACCCAGCTCTGAGCAGGCAGCTGGACTAGACAATGCCTGGAGATCCCTCTCCATCTCAGCCATTTTGGGATTTTGCAGTGATCTGCAGGCACCAATTCTCATGAGTATGTCTGAAACCTGTGAATTTAAAGAATATTTCTGAGTTTGCTTAACCACCTGGTGGTTTTGGTAGTATAAAACCAAGTTTTTTTGGTAGTAAAACCAAAACTATTTTTTGATAGTAAAAATGTATTTGGTAGTATACTTGCAAGTCAATTCTGTAAAAACTATGCTGAGGAAACATCTAGAGATTAAAAACAGCCACTAAAATATTCTTACTGTCTTCAGCTGGTTATAATGAGTTGCAGAACTGGTAATACATGATCAAGCCCATGATATTTGAAATGTGTGTTTTGCTGGCCCTTTTTTTATTTAGCTTTCTTATTGGACAGAATGAATATTCAATTAGAAGATAGTGAAAATATAATACTTTTGTTTTATATAGAAAGTGGAAAAATACTACGCTTTTGAGATTCCAGATGTACCAGCAAAATCTGAATACCTAGAAGTTAAATATTCAGTGAGTATAATTAATCTGATAAATACCATACCTTGATTTTTTTATCTAATTAAGTTTACAATGTGAGCAGTTTCTGTATTAAAATGGTCCTTGAACATTGTAGTCTTGGCTGATGTATCCAGTGTGGATGAAGAACTTAAACTTCAGTGTGTTTTTACATTACTGTCCTGATTTTTAAGTGGAGCCTATAGTGTGATTTCTTCAATTACTGTAAGGTATTATGGGTTAGGGCTTTGCTTGTGGGGGATGACAGTGGTTTCAGTACTGTGTCGTTTTGTTAAGGTGCTGTCTGAATATGGTGTGTCAGCCTTGGACACTTCTGTGCTGTGAAATGACTCCCTGCTCTCTGTTACTTGTTAGGCTGAATGCCCTCGGCTTCCCCAAGATCTGAAGGGACAAACGTTCTCACATGTCTTTGGAACCAACACCTCTAGCCTGGAACTTCTCTTGATGAATCAGAAGATCAAAGGACCCTGCTGGCTGGAAATAAAAAATCCACGTATGGTGGTTTGCATGTGAAATACCTGGTTACTAGGAAACATACAATTATAGATAGGAGGGGAGGAGAAGCTTAAATTTTATGGATGAATTACTGTTTTGTACATTAACCTTGCAACTTATTGGTTGAATTTTCATTATCTATTTCATTAACCTTGCAACTTACTGGTTTAATTTTCATTATCTACACCTTGGAACTCACTGGCTTAATTTTCATTATCTAGTACAAATTTTAAGTTATTCTTCCTTTTTTGGAGTGACAAATACCCATATAAAGTTGTGTACTGTACAGATGAGATTTTAACTTTTAATGCTTGTGAGAGGGAAATATGCAGTGCTTAGCAGCTGCTATTTGATGCATACCCTAATGCCATGTATATGGAACTAAACTTACTTGATTTGAAAATGATGCATCTTTCTGCTCTTGATAAATTAAGATTAGGGTTTTTTTCTTACAAATACATATTTTTGAGGACAAATGGCTACTGGATAGGGTTTTTTTGTTTGTGCATTAGGTTTTTATTTATTTTTTCCTGACACTTGGAAAAGTTTGTGGTGAGGAGCTGTTTTAGTTTTAAATCCTTTCAGCCTCATGATTGGCGTGTAGCACTTAGAGGTGGTCATGCTGCTTTATTTTGGCTTGGTGAGAGCCCTTTATTCAATGTGTACTGCATATTCCCATGAACATAGGGATCATACTGGACAAAAGCTACATCTGCTACTGCAGTCTCCTTGGGGCACTTCCAGTGCAGAACTGACTGTATGAATATTGACACCAGGGGGGTTCTCCTCTTCAGCAGCTCGCTCAGTCACTGACAGAACTGACACCAGTACAGATGACTCTCTGTAAAGCTTCCTGAAGTATTTTATGAGTTATGCAGACCTTGATCCAAATATTCTCTTTTTATTTGATGTTGAAGAGCTCCTGCTGACTGGGAAGTCAGAGCCCAGGGAGTTACCAAAAATCGGGCAGGATTAGTGTGTGTCTTGGACTATCCCATCAGGAGAGAGCATTTGAAGGATGCGCTCTGTGCCATCAGAGAAGCCTTGTCTCTGGTTCCCGGAAGAATGGAGGTGGTTTGTGTTGTTTCCTCAGAGCCTTCAAATCCGCCAGTCAGCTGGTGTAAAGTGGAGGCTGTGGCCATGAAGCTTGGCTTGGTGAATGTGGTTAAAGATCTTTCTCCTCCTCCTCCTCTGGTGGTCATGTCCTTCAGCATGAAGACCACTCAGAACCCAAAGACTCACCAGAATGAGGTAAGTAATCTGCTCTCATTTTGGTTTGATTCTGTTCTTTGACATATATTGAAATTTTCCTAACCTTGGAAGACCCTCATAAAACATGTTTTAAATATATTTACTGTTGAAAAGTTTCTCTGCTCTGGGCTTTTCCAAGAAATTTTTCCTGGATCTCACTCTGTCCTAGGGGGCCTGCTTGAGGAGAATGTTAACTGTGACAGTGGATCCTATGTATATTTTCAAACCTTCTGTTTGTCTGTTGTGCCTCATAGTTATAAGTGAGACTGCCCCAGCACAGCTGGTAATGGATTAGTATTAATGAATCAACTAAACTAGAGCTAATCATAGGTTATAGATAAAATGACCAGGGCTTTTCTGCTAATAAAACTTACTTTAAAATGAGAATTTGGTCTTGATCTTAGAGCACCGGCTACTCTGCTGTAAGATGTTTCCTTAAAAAGGAGGAGAGATGTAGGTGGCCACTCTCAGTTGTGGACTGCAGACCACAATGTGTATTTAGGCACTTTTTTTTTTTTAACATAATTCTCATTAACATGAGAAGAGGTTTAGTATTCACAACTAGGATAGGACAGTTGTTTCTGGCTAATTGAATTGAAGACTAATAGGTTGGCAAATTTTTTAAGCAAAATTATTCCTCGTGGTGAATAAGTATGGAAAATAAATTATTTCTGGCCAAAGTAACAGGACATACACAAAGTACTGACAGGACTCTGCTTGCCAAGATGCTTTAAAGCCTTTCTGCTTTGTTTTCTGTTGGGTTTTCCTGCTCAGTGTCTGGGGAGCCAGGCTGTCCTGCCAGCAAAGCAGTCAAAAGCATCATTAAAGCTACTGGCTCCAAAACTAAACCTCTGGGCTTCTTGGCAGTGTTGACTGTTTTCAGAGAAGCCTTCCTGAGGCAAGGCTTCTCTGCCCTGCTCACATCTCCCCTGCACTCCATGGGGAATCCTTTACGTTGTGGGGTCTGGTCAAATTCAGGACAAAACCTGATAAAAGTAGAAGTTTTCTAAAGTGAATTCTTTTTTCTCTCAAATTTATAATAATTTAGGAGCAAGTACTATTTTATTTCCTTGAGATCAATTGATAACTTTCTTCTTTTCAACTGTTTGTAGTTGGAGTTAGAATAAGAAAGATCTGGTGGAGAAACAAGAGAAAAGAGATGAGGAACTCATAAAAAAAAAAAAAAAAGGATGGAAGAAATATGTATGGATAGTAGTCATGCTTATTTGTGCTGATGAAGTTGTGTGTTCTGTATCTCCTTGGTATAGGTTGTGGCTCTTGCAGCTCTGGTTCATCAGAAATTTCCCTTGGATAAGGCTCCACCTCAGCCTCCTTTTCAAACACACTTCTGTGGTATGTACTTGGAAGAGTTTGAGTAGAAAAGTTATTTATTCAATGGTTTTTCTTTTTTTCTTCTGTTTCGTTTTTTCATTGGTTTTTTTTAAATATTCATTTATTTATTTAAATTTTTATTTCTTTCTGACACTACAGCAATAATGGCCTAAAATAGACAACTGATAAAATTTCAACTCCCAGACAGAATTTTCTCCCCATTTTTAACTTCACTGGTTACTGACTTTTTATCAAAGACTTTATTTAAAAAATCTTAATTTGAGATGATGCCAAGTAACCCTGCTCTATATAGTTTCCTGTAATTTTTATTTGTTTTACTCCAGCTTTCTCTACCCATTAATTTAGACCATTTATTTATTGTTACTTGAATTATTTTGCTGTTCAGCTCTTCTGAAGAGAATTATTTATAAACAAGTTTTCTTGGGGGAAAAAAAAAATCTTGCAGCACTGTCATTGCAGTAGTAGCTGCTAAACCTTGAGATTCAGACACTGACTGGAAGTCATGAGGTGTTGAATGCTTGTGAGATGAAGTCTTCAGGAGCTGTGACCCATGGTTTTAATGTCCAATGATAACCTCAAGTATGACTGATTCAGATTTGTTAATGCTTTAGTAATTATTTGGTTATCTTAAAAATCAGTATTCACTTAAAGCTGCTGTTTCAGAATCAAAGGTCAGTTTTCTCAGCTCACTTTGTTGTGAGCTTATGGGGAGGGTGCAATTAGGAACTTGTATGTAAACACAAATATCACTTTTTGCAGCTGTTTCCAAACCGAGTGATTGCATTTTTCCTTATGACTTCAAAGAAGCCGTTAAAAAGAAGGTAATTTCATTTTGTTACCCTTCTGATTGCAGTACCTTATAGAATATGAACTTCACTGTGCTTTTGGTAAGTGGTGAAGAGAAATAGTCAAAGGAATTGAATGATTATTTAGTTAGTTTTCCACTCTACAAATTTAAATCCAGGTATTTATTCGGTGTTGCTTGTAAAAAAGTGGTTGTGTGTTTCAGTTCTGCTGCTAATTATGCTCTTAAAATAAACAGGAGAGTTAGAAAGATTGTGCAAAGAGGCTAATATTGTGGCTAATTTTCATTATACCTGAGTCTGTACTTGTAGTAAACTGGGAGAATTTGTTTCTTCTTTTATTGGAGGGTTAAGTCTGTCAGAATTTATAAGATGTCCTTTCTAAAGGGTGGTGACAGAATAATAAAGTAACTTATTTTTCTTTTTCCTCTATTTCTGTGTGATCTTAAAGTCTGTGAGTGAAAGATGCATATGGAGCATTTTCCTGGTGTGCTTGATTCTTATGAGGCTCTTAAAGTCTCACACCTGCATTCAAAAGCAGACAGGGAAAAAGCCTCTGAGAAAAGCTTTCCAATGTCTTTGGAAATGAGGGAAAAAAAATCCTTGAATTACAGAAGGAAAAGCAGAACTCTGTGGTGCTTTGTTATTGTCTTGTAACTGGTAGGGGAGAGGAGATGCTTCCATTTTAAACTTATTGGGTCATTGAAATCAGGTGCTCTCTTGCTCCTTTTAGAATGCTAAAATAGAGATTGCTGCAACGGAGAGAACACTGCTGGGATTTTTCCTTGCAAAGATTCACAAAATTGACCCAGATGTTGTTGTGGTGAGTAGTTCTGAGACTTTGAGAGTTAAATTAAAGCATATTGTCAGTTGGTCAGCTTTGTTCTTTTCCTTTTGTCCCCTTAGAGGCTTTTTAATGCTTGTCTTAGACTGCCTTATGAATTGAGTTTGCTTATGAGACAGCAGGCAGCAGGTATATTTTGATACAAAGATGATACGGAATTTTCCCTGACAGCATTTTATACATACTATTATTTCCCATAATAGCTAAAATAGGCAGTATTTTCACAATACCTGGAACAAGTTTGTTTTTTTTTTTTTTCTTAACTCAGACAAAACACAACAAAAACCCCTGATTTTCTAGAAAAATGGGAACTCTTGTTATACTTAAGAATCTGTTGCAATTCAGATGCTCATATAATTTGTGTTTATGCTGTAAATCAAAATAACCATCTATACAAATCCATGAGATCCGAAAAAAGTTTTGCAATAAGCATTCTTATATTTTCTCCTGTTTTAGCAGCTGAGGGTATAATTACTCATTTTCCTTTTTTTTTTTTTTTTTGTTATGTTTAATTAATGTGCAGAACTAACTTTTACATCATAAAATTCTGAAGACAATTTGAAGTTGGCTTTAAGTCTGAGGTTGATTACATACAACTTGTTAGATTGTATGTATTTACCTAACTTCTGTAGGTAGATACAAATAATTAAGTGATGAGAACATGATGGAATGAGCAGTTAATGCCTGATGGTTTCTGCTCACTGCAGCTGATATCCAGTGTTTTTCCTGGTGCCTATGGCAAAGAATCAGAAGAAACATGCAGCCTTAAATTTGGTGGCTTTAAGTGGCTTAAAATTGAAGATGCCACGAGCAGGGGTGTGAGAGCTCCTATCCTGAAAACAGCAGAGCTGTGTTAGTGCAGTTTAATTTGCAGCTGGTTTAATTAGTGCTGTTGAAATGCTGCTCCCATCTTAAGGAGCTGCTTGTACAGCACAGTCTTGCATTGCACAGAAGTACCTGCTGGACTGGACCTGCAGTCCCTGGTGACTGGCTCACGTTCCTCAGGGTAGCATTTTGATTTCAGCAGAGGGTGCAGACCAGTGTCATCAATGTACTTAGCGCTGTTTAAAATATTGCTGGAGTGCTTTGATATGTAAGTATTGCTTGCAAGGTGTTCCTATTCAGAACAGCTTGTTCCTATTGTACTATCAAAGGAAAAAATACAGTGTTTTGATGCCACTGTTGTGACTTTCACAGATGGAGAAAAGGGAATTACTCTTAGCTTAAGTTTGTATGCTTTATGAAGAATGTTGTAGATTTTTCTGGAAAGCTTTAAATTGTAACCTCTGGTATCAAAGCATGAAGCTGTACTGTGTGTGCTATGATTTTGGTATTCTACTGAACAGCATTGTTAGTGTTAAGACTAATGAGTACTGTTGATGAACGTTCTCTTAGAAAGTGCTTTCTACAAGAGAGATAATGCCATCAATTAGTTGGAAAAAAATCACAAAGGGCAAAGGAATACTGAGTGTGTGAAAGTAAGTCTTTCAATTTGCATTTGTTGTAACCTTTTTTGTTGTTTTTTCTGCTTCAAGGGTCATAATATTTATGGATTTGATCTGGAAGTGCTGCTTCAAAGAATTAATTTGTGCAAAGTCCCTCACTGGTCCAAGATAGGTCGACTGAGGAGGTCTAATATGCCAAAGCTTGGGGTAATAAGATTGCTTAAGTCTTTTAAGCTCCTTTATGTTGCATGTTATTAAAAATGAATTAGTTTTTCCGAGGAATTGTAAATGTGACACTGATGTATTTTGACTGTTGGTCATGCTGAATTTTGTGGGTCCCAGATCAGAAATTATGAGTGTTTATATGACTTTCATTACAGTAATAAGATAAACTGATTTTCAAGTTAGGCTAATGTAGTTTACTTATCTCAACTAGATGATAGTAATGACAGATTAATTGCAATAGTCTTTACTGTAACTGTCTTTGTCTGCTGTAACTGTAAAATGGGAAAAAGCAATTTGGATTGATGGGTGAATCATCCCATAGAGAGCTGCTAAGCTAATAATTCTGTAGTTCTTATTACATACTTGTTCAGAGGACAATGTCTGAAGCTTGAAGTGCTCAACATGGCTCTGTTCTTGCCTCTTCCTGTCCTTCCTAGAGGCCAAGTTGGGTATTTCTGTGTGGTTCTGTGACTTTTTCATCCTGCTGTTATTACAAAAATTATCCTTGGAAGAGGGACAAAATGCACATCCAGGTTCTTTTTGGGGTTATTCTAATGATTGGAGAAAAAAAAAAAAAAGCATGATAGTTAAAGAGTTAAGATATAACCAGTAGTGAAAACTGAGTATCTGTTTCTTAATATGTACATACAGTGAATGATACCATGGATTCCTTTAAGGCATAATTATAAGTCCTTGAGTATTAGTGGTAGTTAATAGAGTATTTGAGTACTTAGTGACCAACTGACTTGACTGACTCTTATAAACATATATTGTGGGTAGATATTTTTTGTTAATGTTTGTATATTCATTTTATTTGTGTTTTCTCTCTGTGTGTAATACCATGAAGGGCCGAGGAGGATTTGCAGAAAGGAATGCTGCTTGTGGTCGAATGATCTGTGATGTAGAAATTTCTGCTAAAGAACTAATTCGTTGCAAAAGTTACCATTTGTCTGAACTAGTGCATCAGATTTTGAAAACAGAGAAGATAACAATTCTGCCGGAGGAAATTCCAAATATGTACAGGTATGTTACTGATTGTGGGTTTCAGTCCTTCTCTGGAGAGCAGAGGAGTTGATTCCCTGACATAAAAGTTTGCTTTTGCTTACTTTGTTGTGGGGATGCTGACTTAGCATACTGGGATTTGAAAAGTTAAATACTGTCTTAACATTATAAAATAATGTTTCAAGCTACTTGTGGTGGCTTATTATGTATGAACTGATTTGTGGGAGCATTGGTTGTTGACACACTAAAAGGAGATGCAAGCCTGAGTTTTGGGGTGGTTTTTCAATTACAAGAGATTCCTCAGTCGTGTGCTACAGATAGCATGTGTTCCATACAGCACATAGGTCTAAGGCCTACAGAGTGCAAAGGGGATTGATTTTACTGTGCTAGGGCATTTTACCCACGTCTCTTCTTTCCCCAGCGATTCTCCTCGCTTACTGTTCATGCTGGAAAACACCTGGATAGATGCCAAGTTCATTCTCCAGATCATGTGTGAGCTGAATGTTCTGCCACTGGCTCTTCAGATAACAAACATCTCCGGGAATGTCATGGTACATTTTTATTGCTTTCCACCCCTCTCCACTGTCCTCTCCAAACAGTTCCATGCTTTCTGTGTTTCATTTGCTGGGTTTAATTTCTAAACACTAATTTGGAATGCACAAGGCTGTTAATTTTTTTGCTGTGACAAGCTCAATGTTCTAATCAAGTAATAATGTAAAACTTCCTTAAAAATATCATGTTTGAGTTTTGCTGTCAGTGTTTTCTGTGCTTTGCTTTGAGTTCTCTTTTCACCCCTCTTTAGTCAAGGACAATGATGGGTGGACGATCTGAACGTAATGAGTTCCTGCTGCTTCATGCCTTTCATGAGAAAGATTACATTGTGCCAGACAAACAAGTTTTCAAAAGGCCTCCACAGAAGCTGGTGGGTCCAATTTTTCTCTTCCTAAAAATTTTTATGAAAAAAAAAAACCAAAAAAACAAAAAGAAAACATTCTTCCATCTTCTGTGTGTGACTATTCTGTGGGAACACAAGGAACCTCAAATATAACTCAGATAACTTAATGGTATAATTAATATGCTTAATTAAAACATTGGTTTTTTGTGGAATCCATAATGAGAGCGGGACAATGCAACAGCTTTTCCATTGCAGGACAGATCTGTAAAAACTCAGTTGTTCTATTAGTTTAAAATTAAAATAAGCTAAATACTTGTTTGTGTGGGGAAACAGTAAAGAAGACAATCTGTGTTTGTTTAATACTTGCATTTAGTTATTTTGATGAACACTATTACAAGAAAAAATTGTATGGATGAAATATCCAAAGGTATTAAAATCATTTGTATAATACCAGTGTAAATAATAATTATAGAAATTTCTAGATGTTTGTTAGTGAACAAATTAAAATTTGAGAAAGTATTTATATTTCACTATATATTGCTTTTTAGTTTTAAATAAGTTCAACAGCAAACTTGAAAGCAATGATTTTTGTTGGTTGTATTGTGGCATCAAAGCAGCACTGGAATTCTAAATCATTCAGAATATAATTGAACAATTGGGAGATGAATTCTTATTACAACATAACGAAAACCAAAATATTCTTTAGGTCAGTAGTAATGTTTTTATTTGTTTTATTCAAGCCCAGCCATTCTGTTTGCAAAACCAACATTTTAATTGGGCATTCATACCACTTCTGGGTCATGAGTTGATTTTTTTCATCGTGTGGACTTTTACAGCCAGTTTAAAAGGCATTCTGGTGCCATGTTGAATTATGACAATACTTTAAGGTCTTTGTAATCTCTTGTTAGCAGTTTTTTTCCTATTAGAGTTGGTTTGAATGCTATTTTGACATGTAGAGAACTTTAGTAAAGATCATGATGAAAACACTGTATTTTGCATATATTTTAAAAGGAATTCTGCACTGGCTCCCAAATTTGTATTTGACTTGCCAAAAATAACTCTAACATTACAGAAATCTTCGACACTAGATAATGACTTTTTTAAATGCCAAATGTAGGTGGATGAAGATGAAGATTTTGAAGATCAGAATAAATCAAAGATAGGGAAAAAGAAAGCAGCTTATGCTGGGGGCTTAGTCTTGGAACCCAAAGTCGGTAAGATATGGCAATTTTCTTTCTTCAGTTAACTTAGAGACAGGTAGGTTATATTAATACAGAGAGATTGCAGTGGGGAATCTGTGGTTGTGGGAGTTTGGTGGTGTTGTTGTAAGGGGAATCTTGTTGCATACAAGAAAATTCCCAACACTGATTGTGGAATTTCTTCTTTTGAGGGATTAGGACTGTATATTCATGTATAATTTTTTAATGGACACGGAAGTTTTCTTTCAGTTTCTCCTCTGTGTGGGGAAAACTGTACAAGTGTCCTATAGTAACACAGAAGCTATCTGTTCAACTCTGGTGAGTTAATGGGGTTGGATCGTTCCACTTCTGACAGCTTTCTGTAAAAGGGCACTGGTGCATCTCAACGGCTGCTTGAAGGGATTTAGATTATGGAAATGGGGTACAATGTATTACTGTCACTTAAGTATTAATTGTGGAGTTGTATGGAGTCCTTTGGGAGACTTGAGTAATTATGACTTTTGTTTTAATCTCTGTTTTAGGTTTTTATGACAAGTTTATTTTGCTTCTCGACTTCAACAGCTTGTACCCATCGATTATTCAGGAGTTCAACATCTGCTTTACCACAGTGCAGCGACTGTCATCAGAAGCACAGAAAAGGGCAGAGGTTTGAGTGCTTTAACTAGTGGCTTAAATTACGCTGTCTTAACTTCAGAGCGTTTTCTGTGAATCAGCTTCTTAAGAAGCTGTTCTTTTTCACTGTTTTTTTTTTTTTTTTCTTTTGTCCCCTCTCACATATAAAAAGTGATTCTTGTTTAAAGATTTATTGTGTTAATTTGTGGGTTGGGACTTTTTTGAATATTTTGTGTCTCTCACCTTCCTTTCTGTAATAGTCTTACAGACTCTTTGTAAGTTCTCTCCCATCTATTCTTGGTATCCTCATGAAACAAGATTTTTACTGAGGCTCTGTGACCCTTTTCAGCCACACATCCACCCTAGCAATTTCTGAGCCCTTTTGCTAGTTTCATCCTAGCTTGATAGAGGCTTCCTGAAGTTAAGTTGCTATTTGTATATTTATGCAAATATACCTGATGGAAGTAGGCAAAAGTCTCATGCTTTCTACAGGAAAGAATATGAATATGAGCTCAAGCCTTATTAGACATCAGGAAAATGATGTGTGTGACTTGAGAGTGTGATGTTGTGGCTGTGTGAACTGTAGCACCGGCTTCACAAAACCTCATGGTGTTCAAACTATGTTAAACACAAATGAAAAACCTTCTGAAGGTACAGTTGGACATACTGTTTTATAAGCAGCTGTGTTGGCTCTGCTTTATCCATGGCTGGAGATTCTCAATTCCTCAGCAGTGCTGGAACACTTGTTGGAGCTGTGTTGTAAACTGAAGCATTGAGCTGGTCAGGTCTAAAGGTTAAAGCAGAGGCTTTTATTTTTAACTGGTATCAGCTCACAGGTTGGAATTAGTTAGTCCTGTAGCAACTGAAATATGAATTGAGAGCAGAAATGAGGAGACAGGTATGTGGAGTTCTGTCAGTAAGTTTCTTCAAGTTGAAATTGGATTTTCCCTGCTTTCTGAAGTGTGCTTCAACCTGAAGCAGCTAATTTTGATTTCTCTCTCTGTATGATGTTTAATCAGGCTTTGGTGTAATTTCTTGTTACAGTTCTCCTCAGCCTGCTTTACTAAAGTTGCTAACCTCACTGTGTCTGTACTGCCCTTCCTTTGCACATTTCTGTCACTTTCATTGTGCTTGAAACACCATTCAATTTTTGCTGTTTCTTCAGTCATGCTAAGAAGGGGTCCTTTTTGCTGTGTTGTTTTGCTATAATCAAGAGTTGCTTGGGGTGGAATTTTTGGCCTACTTTTGTCAGTTTTATCATTCAAAGTATCAGTTCCACAGAGCACGTGCTCCTTTTGACAGGTCTGAGCACCAAAAGTACTTAGATGATGATAAAAAATGGATGGATTTTTGAGCACAGAAAGAATTGCTGTGTGTGTACTTTTCTTTATATTTTTGTATTTATCTATATATACCTAAGAGTGAGAATGTATGTCTGTTATTTATCTGGTTTTATATATGTATATAAATATATACCACACACTGATAAAAAACAAAAACCTTCCTGCTGCTGGTCCATGCCTTCTTTGTGTTTCTCCAAGAGTAAAACAGACTTGGGCCCTGTTCCCCAGCAGGAGCAAAGTAATACAGTTAAATACTGCTAAAAAACCTCTTGTGCTTGTTCTAAACTGTACTTTGGGTGCTCTGCAGGAATTGGCACAAACTGTATGGTTTTGGTCCCCCCACCCCCCCAAAAGCTTTTCACTTAATGCATTAAAATCTAATTTTCAAGCAATAAAATGATAAGCAGCGGTGATCATTTCACAGACTGAAGAAGAGGAAGAAATTCCAGAGCTTCCAGACCCATCTCTGGAAATGGGAATTTTGCCTAAGGAGATCAGGAAACTGGTGGAGAGAAGACGCCAAGTTAAGCAGTTAATGAAACAGCCAGATTTAAATCCTGACCTCTATTTACAGGTGTGTTTTATAGAACTCAGTTGATTTTTCCCCCTCTCCCCTTAAGTGCCCTGATCAGCCTTGTAGAATAGAGATGATTAGTAGTGAGCAGTGATTGTAATGTGCTTTATTTGTAGCCCATCACTGCTGCAGACTGTATAAAAAAGCTGTGAATGTAATTGTGAGCATTAAGTTCTGTTCCCTGATGGCTGTGGTTGGATCATTTTTCTGGTTGTGTTTCTTTTCAGTATGATATCAGACAGAAAGCTTTGAAACTCACTGCTAACAGCATGTATGGCTGCCTGGGATTTTCCTACAGCAGGTTCTATGCCAAGCCTTTGGCTGCTTTGGTGACACATAAAGGGAGAGAGGTAAGTCATTAAACAGGTTGTACACACATGTAAAAAGGCTGATTTTAAGCCACCTGCTTTTTTTTTTTTTTTCATTGAATACAAGAATGGTTTTGTTCTTGAACCTGCTTTTGGTTTCAGAGCTCTTAAGTTTTTCTTTCTTGTGAAACTATTTGGTTTCAATAGGCCAGACTGAGGTGACAACAAAAAAAAAAAAATCCAAGGCTGCTTTCATTTTCAATGAATGAAATTAAATTCATTTTCTATGAGTTTCTGGTTGTGCTTGATGGGTTAGTCTTTGATTTGGTGGCGTGCTTCAGCTTTGGATGAGCTTGCTTGTAGCCAGACTGTCTTGTGGCCTGATACGACTTCCTAAGCCCTAAAGTTTGTGATAGGGCAAATTAATCATGGAGGCAATGGATTATGTATCAGGGCTTATTTTTTGGGAACTCTTTGTTCCTTAAAATAAAGTTTCTCATTAGCAACATATTGTATTGTAAGAGTTGCACTTGACTTTATAGGCAAAACTACTCTTGCTATTGGTTAGGATGGTGGCTCAATACAGATGACATTGGTTTTGTCCCTGTGAGAAAAATAATCTTTAATGATCCAAGGCATACCGCTGATGTACATTCATTGTCTTAAAACATAATGATGTTCAATATTAGTTCCTTGTAAAAGAGAATACCAAGCAGGAGTCGGCAAAGGTGCCAGGAGCAGTTGTGTCAGGATGGCTGGTCGGCCTTTGGGGTTGATCAAGGAGATGGATGAGGTCACATCCCTGCTGACAGTCTCATCCTCCCTGTGATGTGAGGGCACACCCCCTGCACAATTCCCAACTCAATTGCATTTGGGTGTTTCATTTCTTGTAACACATCTTTGTTTTTAATTATCTATCTTAACAATTCTCTAACAGAACCCCTCATTTGTTGTCTTTCCAATTTATGTAAGCAGTTATGTTTAACCTTACATATCCATTTAACTCAGAAGTAATTTCCCAGTTGGGTAACTGCAAGCATGCCATGCAGCCATGTGAATTCATAAGTTAGTATTTCCTTTAATAAGGTATTAATAAGGTGTTTGTTGATGGAAGATTCAACCTCATGCTGTCTATGAGGCTGGCATGTAAAGCAGCTGAGTATAATAGCTTCATATTTTCTGGTGGTATTTAAAAAGTAATTAATTCTACTTTTTTCTTTGTTTTTTTAATGATCTTCATATGTGATATGGACCTTTTGCCACAGACCTGCTATTCTGTGGATACTTAAGCTTTTGGCCTCTGTTAAAATGGGGAAATACTCGTTTGCACATTTGTCTCTAATTTATCAGTTATGAGATAACTGTTAAAATCTGGTGTTCCTGCTTTATGTTCTGGAGTGATGGTGAAATGGGGAAATCCTAAATAGGTGTTACAGAATGTGCTAGGGAGTAATCATAGATGGTTTCTCTTACATAGTTGATCTTTGGTTGGAAAGGATTTCTTACCTATAAATTCTGCTGCTGCTGGATCTGTGCTGGCTTCTGCCAAGCCTTTGCACACATTTGAGTTTTTGCCATAGAAGATGATGTGAGGACACCTTAGTTTTCTGGTTTTAATGAGTTTTGTTTGTTTGCTTTAAGTTGAAATATTTGATCTGGAAGAACATTACTTTAAATTTTTATATTAGTCTTTCTATTCATAGGTTTTCTTTTACCACTCAGTTCTAATATAGAAGTAAATGTTGAGTATCTGGATGTTTGGGTTCTCTGTGAGAAAAGGTTAATTAAAAAGTAACTGTTACAGAAAATGTATGGTCTAAATTTAAATGGCCTTTTCTGATGATCTGCAATTAATACTTTTTTTTTTTATACTGTTGTCAAGGGCACCTGAGTAAATGCAGGTAGGCTTGTAGAAGTCTAAGTGGGAAAAATATTGTGTGGGATGAAAACTGAACTTAATATTTGCACTAACACAATTACAGTTCAGTCGTAAGTCTTAGCAGAATAATTGAAAGTGGGAAATGTGTATTTCATGTTGAAGTTGTTAAAGCTTGCATCAAGTTTTAATGTAGCTGAGAATGAGTTTTGATGAGTCCTGTAAATGGATGCTTTTCAGCTGTGGGTGACTGACAACCTTTCCACTGAAGCTGTGGGAAAATTGAAGCACCTGATGCCAAGTGCTGAGTACCACCTCTCCTGGACTCTTCTCTTTGTGGTTTGGCAATGCTGATGCAGTAAAAGCTGTAGAGCTGCCATGGGGTTCCTTATGGTGACTAAAAATACTTGTTTATAACACATTGCTGTTATAAAAACTTGTGTGACTATATTATTGAACTTCTGAACTATATTAGCAGAACTTGGCATGTTCACTTTATTTTGGTGGCAGAAGTGTTAGATATGGTGTGGAAAAGCCATTTTAAAAAAGCCACATCATAAAGGTAGATGTTCCTTAGGGTCCCTTCCAACCCAAACCATTCTACGATTCTATGACAGTGAAATCCATAAAAGCTCAGTTCTCTTCAGTGAGCTGTAGCGAGCCAGTGCTTGGTTTTTATTTTCCTTCAGCCAAGGAATAGAAGTGTAGCAGAGCCGTACATCCCTGGGCAGGGGCAGGCTGGATCCAGCAGGATTTATCCCGTCTGTCGTTCCGGGGGGACAGTGCGATAAAGGCGGGCTGGCTTCGCTAGATGGCGATAGAGACCTGGAGATCCTTAATCAATTAACACTCCTTTTCGTCTGAGTGTTTAAACGGTGGTTATCGGCTTTTCCATCGGGTCTTCCTTGTTTTTCGTTTGTGGGTAATCTTTAACAGGGGCATATCAATGTGAGTTAGTCAGAATTTAGCTGTCACAGGTAGACTGCTAAGTTCCGGTGTGGTTTGGAAGGAAAAAAAAGGCAAAAATCTGGAGTGGAAGTGAGTTAAAACTATAGCTCAGATCTGTTTGATCATTTTTGGCAAATGTAAATATTTTTCTTTTTTGACTGTATCGGGAAATTCTACATTTACAAACTATTCATCAAGAATTTGTTAGAGGGATTCCTGGACTTTCCTCTCCACCCCCCACGTTACTAAGCCTTTGCCTTGACGTTACTCTTGTTGTAACTATAGCTGTTGCTCTCATGGAAAAGTAATAGGAAAATATTTAATATATTTTTAGCTGTCCTTTAATGTAATTTAACAACTGGAAACAAGATGAGTCGGAGCTGTACAAGCAGCCAGCTCTGCACCAGCAGGCAGTGTCGGGTCATGCCGTTCTAGCCTCTCTAAAGGACAAACCTTTTGATGAAGTGTCAGTTGTCTTGTTTCCTAAATGCAGGATGCCGTTTGCTGCAGGGTTCTCCTACAGAACACCAAAGTTGTTGAGAGAATTTAACTGTAGACAGCTTGCTTGCTAATGGCTTTCACTCAGTGCTGAGGCCTTTTCCAGGTACTTGCTTTTTTTCCGTGTTGTTTTTTGCTGTTGCATATTTTTCCCCAAGCAGACTTGCCTTTGAAAGGAAAACAACACATTTGATGTTTTCAGCAGAGCTGACAGGTAGACCTAGTGTTCAAATATGCGAAAGAAAAGGGGGAAAGAGGCAATTGGGTTAATTCCAACTTTCTCATTCAGATCCTTTAGATACATTCTCAATTAATAATTAGTTTAAGGCCCTGGCAGTCAAAAGGAAAGAATAAAAGCATGTTATTGCTGCAGTCTAGGAGAAGAATGGATGAGGGAGGAGAAAAATGAAGTGGAGAAAGATGAGCTCATTTAAAAAAAATTAAGGGTAGGTAAGCAGGTTAATGGCCATCTACTGTAATTATGATCTGTAAAGAAATCCAGGCATTTCTTTTTTTTTTTTCTAAAGTCTTGTTCAGTCAGGGAAAATGATCATCAGCTGCTTTCTCTTGATTGCACCTAAAGCATTGGTTATCCAGTCTGTAAGGATTGTCACGTGAATGGGGCAATTGACAGACTCCTGGTTTCTTCCATGTTGTACTGTGGGAGAAAGAGGATTGCTAAAAGAGCAATTGTCTTGTTATAAGCATGCCATCTATATTTAAACAGGGAATGATACATCAATATAACAATTTTGGAAGACATGGAACTCGATGGCAAAAGATGAGGCAAAGAGTTTGTAATTGCTTTTAAATCTAGAAATGGCAACCCAAAGTCATGGGAGAAATAGTGCTAAATTGCTGCATTGTCCCAAAATGGGAATGTTGGGGTTAAATAATTTGCCACTGTTGTTACATTTATCACTGTGTGTGCAACTGTGGGCCTGTGGAAAAGCTATGTATGTTACTCTGCATGCTGATAGCCAAAACGAGTTAGAGTAGGAAAGGAGAGGCTGCATACAGTCTGGAACTGTGAGTACCAAGTAGTAGAAAAATTATGGAGCATCTTCACATTTGTTGAATATTATTGGTAGTTGAGTGCAGGAGATTGCATCTAGTCTAATACAGACTTCAGCATCTCCAAGGAGAGGAAATGAAACATTTCAATTAAGAAGAATGGCCGGAGTATTTTGGGTAAGGAGGCAATTAGTTAGAAGGGGAAAAATAGATATTATTCTTATTTTATTTTGGATGGTATTTTGGTATTTTTCCCCCTCTGGACAGAAAGGTTTTATTTAATGGGTATTCACCAAGAAATGTTTAGATGTTTAGGAAGATTGATCAGATTCAGATTGATTGTACAGCCATCAGATGAATAGAGAGACTTTTTTTTTTTTACTGTTTATTTTAAGATTGTACTGTTACAAGAGGTGTGGTGCCTCTCACTGCCTGACTGCTGATTTCTCTGAATGGGTTATAGCAATTGCATGGCCCCATGGTGAGTTGGATCAGCCTGGTGATCCGAGTTGAAAACTAACTCCAGAGGAAAACCAAATTGATTTCAGTTGGATCAGGCTCAGTGACTCACTGTGTACTCTGAGAGCTGGTGGAAAGGAGGAGGTTGGAAAGTGGGGGCAGTCCCAGTGTGAGATGTAAGAGGTCAGGCATGACCAGCCGTTTTTCAGCTCATACCTGACTGTGAAACTGTGGGCTTATTGTTACT